CAGTCCAGCTTCACACTTTGATTCCTCGGTCAGAACCATCCACCCTATACCCACCTTCTTCTTTACTGGCCTCCTCATCTCCTGAGATCCTCCTGAGCTCCTGTTAACCTCCACCATTACCATCATCATCCTCAACTGCTGTGCGTCTCCTGTCCACCCTCCAACATCACACATTGCTTTTACTGATCCAGTCAGAATCTTCCAGATCTGACGGAGGCGTGGTTTTGGTGGTGCTTGGTAAACCTGTCATCTTTTCATTCAACCGTAAATCAAAACATCCAAATTATAAAACTACGCCCACGTCATCAACTTCAGTTCAAAGCTTTCTAGTGAAGTTGTCAGAGTGGCCAATCCGTAACTTTCCTCTTCAGCCAAAAGAACCAACGACAAGCTGGATAAAATCTGTTGCATGTTCCACCTGTTGCAACGGTTCCTTCCAGAATAAAAGCTGAACCATCACGACCCCGACATGGGTCTTGTTAGATGCCAATAAACTGTCGTGACCCAGAAGTATCTCAAAGACTGGTTTCAGTTGGCAACCGCTGCTTTTCCTACCGGTTTCGGTTCCAGAGAGGGTCAAGCTGGACCTCGACATTCCTGATCTAACGGGGACTTCCAAAAGGGTGTGTAGGCCGGCAGAATGGGGAAACCACATGCTCACTGCCGAGCTCAAAGCCATCAGAGATTCCCTCTGATGTTTTCTAGCAGATTGAACAGGTCGTGGACCAAGCAGTTGCTCTTACCAGCAATGTCAAGCGAGACAAACTATGACAACTTTTGTTAAAACACAAAGATTATCTTTCACTCGACTCCTTGGACTGTGGTCTAACCTCTATCCATGGTCAGGATTCCTACACTGCCATTTGTGCGTCATTCCCCTGGCGTCCCACGGACCAGTCCAGGAAATCGTTGAAAGCCTCTTGGCTAAAGGGATCATCCGACCCTGCAACAGCACCTACTCGCTCCACTGTGGCCAGTAAAGAAGCCTAATGGTAAGTGGCGACTAACCATTGACTACAGGCAACTCAACAACCAGGTTCCCTTGTCTAGGTGGCTGATGGCGCGCCTCGAACAAGAACTTCCAAAAGTGAAAGACGCTAAATACTTCTCCACCCTTGACATTGTGTCTGGATTCTGGACAATTCCTGTCCGTAAATCAGACCAACCCAAACTAGCCTTCTCCTTTGCCAACCGCCAGTACACCTTCACTCGGTGTCCTTTTGGTTATTCCAACTCACCAGCTGAGTTCAGCATCTTCTTGGACAAAGCCTGCCCTGATGCTCGAGAGCGAGGTACCCTCATCTATGTCTATGACATTCTTGTTCGTGAGCGTACCTTGGATGACCACCGGTCCGAGCTGGACCACGTCATGGGTCAGCTCGCAGCTGCTGGTGCAAAGATTTCTCTCGCCAAAGGTCAGTGGTGCAGGTCAAAGGTTCAGTTTGTTGGCCTCCTTGTGGGACCACAGGGTGTGCCGCCTCAACTTGGCAGAATTCAAGGTGTTGCCACCATCACACCTCCTACGAATGTCTCCGAACTTCGGAGCTTTCTAGGGGTGTGCAACTACTCGCACCAGTTCGTAGAACATTAGGCTGAGATGGCGAGACCTCTGACTAACCTACTGAAGAACCATCTGCCTGCAGCATTTTCATTTGCACAGACAAATCTGGAGAAATCAGCTGAGGGCAGGAAGGCTTATTATGATCAGAAGGCCTCACATTCTGAACTCAACATAGGCGATGAGGCCTGGTTCTACATTTTCACTCCTAAAACTGGTAAAACCAAGAACACCTCTGGGAAGCTGGCTAAGAAACTTTCGCCGAAGTGGTCAGGCCCATACCTGATAACCGCTGAACTCTCTCCAGTCGTGCATCAGATCAAGATTACCCAAACAAACCAGAAGCCTGTCTATAAGTGGGTCCACAGGGACCAAATCAAACCACACAAGGGCTCCACTAATTTGGTCAATGCTACCTCCAACAACTTACCGACTTCGAAAGGGGGGTGGTTTCGCACCTCGTCGGCTCCATAGTTCTCTATCTCAAGTTACACAAGCTTGTCTATGTTTGTGTGTGTGCATGGTTGTCTTTCCTGTTTATACGTGACGTGCAGACTTGGGTGAATGGAGATGGACGTGCTGTGGGTTCCTGAGGTCAGGTAATCAGGTAGTTAACAGTAGATGGGTTATTCCACATTTTTTTATTTTCACTAATCTTAATTCCTTATGGGAACATTCACATGTAGGTTGATTACTAACTTCACTGATTTATATTTTAGTGCTCTTTGACACTCATATCTATCTTTTTTATAGAATTTTACTACAGTGATTAAGTTTTGAAAACTTTATGATTAACTTGTTAATTTACCATTACGGGCTACAACCATTCATTTTGATAAAACGTTTGCTTAGTAAAGTGATTCTATTCCTCCCACACGCAGTACAGGGTTTTATTAATTTTATTCTTTTCGCAACACTTTTTTCCAGTACACGTAGTGTAGTGCGTCCATTTCTTCACTTAAAGGCTATTCACATAATTGCTTCACAGAGCACATGCAGGCACTCATACTGATAGGTTTATTTTTCTTTATTGATTTGCTTTAGACGCCATTTTGTTGTGTCTACATTGAAGTGCCCTGTGTTGTGCTATTTCTCCTCTTCTGAGTTTCGCTGATGATCCTCAATTCCTGGGGGTGGACCTATGACTTGTCATCAAATTCTACTCCTCCTGATTGGTGTTCCGGCTCGTATTTTATGGTTCATTAAATAATATGTAAATGTAATCGTTACAAGAGGAAGCTACGGAAATGGCCGTTTGTAGCAAAATCTCTTTAACTAAGAAGCAGCCGTGACACGCCGTCAGGGTTGTTGCAAAGCTGACGCAGCAAACGGTTCCTGCAGAACAAAGCTGATTTTAAGGATCTAGACGCAAACAGTTCCATCCATCTGTCGTGACCCGAGACATCTCTGGACTGGAGAAGTCGGCGCTGTGGTCAATCTACCGGACCTGGGTGCCAGAGGTCACCTGACCTCTCTGACCTTCGGATCCATGAAGAGGATCTCCGAGAAGGCTGAGGTAGACCACAGTGTGATTGCGTCTGATGCTTTTTGATTATAATCAACTTCATCGCTTAACACAAACCAAATTCTTTTACACCCAGAGCTCAGCTCTCCTAGATGTGGAAGTTCTGATGACATCACATTCACACATAGGCACCATATCTACACAACATCTACATTCACCCATCACAGCAAATATTAGTTAACTTGTCATGTTTTAATTGGCTGGACAATAAATTCTTACTTTTACAAACCTGACTCTTTCTTGTATCAGAACAAAGTGTTTACAATCCCTGAATAAACAAACAATCCTAGAATCTTCTTATTAAACATCCAAAGACCAAGCAGGTTGGTATTCTATATTTATCACAGCGTATTGGTCATAAGTAGAGGTAATATATTGAGCTCTTAAAGCACTTAATTTACCAATCCTACACCAGGCAACACTTTTCCAGTTTTGGTGAGCTGGTGCAAGCTGTAGCCTCTTTTTCCTGTTTGTAGTGGAGGTGAGTGGTACCCGGTGGGGTCTTCTGCTGCTCTAGCCCATCCGCTTCAAGGCTGTGGGTGTTGTGGCTTCACAAATGCTTTGCTGCGTTCCTCGGTTGTAACGAGTTGTTACTTCAGTCAAAGTTGCTCTTCTATCAGCTTGAATCAGTCGACCCATTCTCCTCTGACCTCTAGCATCAACAAGGCATTTTCCCCCACAGGACTGCATCATACTGGATGTTTTTCCCTTTTCACACCGTTCTTTGTAAACCCTAGACATGGTTGTGGGTGAAAATCCCAGTAACTGAGCAGATTGTGAAATCCTCAGACCGGCCCGTCTGGCACCAACAACCATACCACGCTCTGAATGGCTTAAATCACCTTTCTTTCCCACCCTGACCTTCAGTTTGGAGTTCAGGAGATGGTCTAGACCAGGACCACACCCCTAAATGCATTGATGCAACTGCCCTGTGATTGGTTGGTTAGATACTTGCATTAAGGAGAAGTTGAACAGGTGTTCCTAATAATCCTGTATATGAGTGTAAATGTCACACATTCCCTAAGTAAGATATTAGAGTTATAATATTAAGTGATCTTAACTATAAGGCAGCAGTAGTTCAGGGTGTTCAGGAATCAGAAGGATTTAGGTTCAGTCCTAGCTCCGTCTAGGCTAACCTCCCCATGTTGGACTCAAATGGCAACATTGGCCAAAAAGTAGATTTTCATCACCAGAAGTGTGTGAGTGTGAGCGCATGAATAATGAAAAGTGCTTTGGGTACCTCAAAAAGCACAATCTAATTATTTTTATCAAATGGTAAATGGTGGGAAACCCACACATACCAGCGTACCGCTGTGACACGCGGGGCACACAAGGTCCCCAAAGCAATGGGGACCTTAACCCTAACATATGCAGGCCATAGGGGCCCGACTATTTGTTTTATTTTATTTATTTATTTACTTCCTTATGTTTTCAGAGGATAAAAACCTCTTGAGATGAAACCTCTCGTTTTTGAGTGGGTCCTCTATCCATTTAAGGTAAAAGATTGCAAAATAGCAAGACAACAAGTGCCTGAAAAAGAGAGAGAGAAAGAAATATATCGGTTCATATCAATATGGGAAACGAAGAGTTTGACAATACTGGATATCGATAGAAAAGCCCATATGGAGCATCCCTAGCTAAAAGTCCATTACATTTCATTTCTTCTCGGTTCTCGTGGGCAGCTGGTCACCTGACTATGTAGATCAGTTTGCTGCCATGTGGTTGGTGGATTAGACGCTGGTGTAAACAGTCGAACTCGCTTTGATATTCTGAATTTCTTGGACACCATAGGGACCACACCTAAAGACCACGTAATTATTTCAGTGACCTTAAAGTGCCCCCCCCCCACCCCCGCTGTCCTTTTGCCTGACGTTGACGAGGGGATCTTCGGGTTGGCTTCAGTCAGTAAAAACAAACTGACTTCACAATTCTTTAATAGTTTACAAAATTTATTTAAAAAAAAGATTATTTTCTGTAATTTTCTCTTCAGTTTCATAAAAATCTGCCTTTGTGACTTCTGCATGTAAACCACCACTCAGTAAATAACTGATGTCATATTTATGTCCGCCCACTTGCACAGTTAAAAGATTTACACTATGCATCCGTGCATAGTGGAACGACGCAACACGAGCCTGATGCAGTTCTCGCACCAATCAAAGGGAGTTTCCATCATCATGACTCCATGTTACGCGAATATTATTCAAATAGAGAATTGTCCCCAGTTTCATCCTTCAGAGGGAGGGTTAGTGTTCAGTGCAGAAGATGCTTGGCTTTCTTCTTGGCTTATTTCTATTCTGTGTGCATTTTCATATTCAACTGCACCTATTTTTACAAATGAAAGGGGGAGAAATAAACGTTTCCAAACAGCAGTTGTACTAACGAACCAGCGCTTCATGATTCAAATGTCAGGCCGGTTCAGAAGTCAAAAAGGCTAAGGTTGATTTTCAGGGCCTCTTGGACTCAGCGGCCCGTCCTCAGTCATGACTCGATCAACAGCAGTCTCAACATTTGTCCAATCGCCTGACTGTAAGCACTGTTCCCTCCTCCAATAGGCACAGGGAAGGACCCGTTGCTGTCCAGTGGGGGCACAGACTCCCAGTATCTCTAACCATGGAAGACTGGTGAACCAGTACAGATCAGTCCTTTGTAGGAAACCTAAAGATGAGCTGAGAAAAAGTTCAGGTCAGTAAAAACATAAATACATGAATTCAGCAGACATGGAGAACATCTTTCAGCTCCATTAAAGAGGATATGTTCTAACGTTTAAGCTATAATTCATGTAAATATGGCGATGACAGATCTACAGGCCAGTCAACACATGCTTTAAGTTCTCTGCACAAAATCAGTACAGGGCCGGATTAAGATTGCAGACACCTCCGGGCACAATTTGTTCAAAGCAGCAATGGTAATAAAAGTTTTTATCATGAACAAAAAGTTCTTTACTTCCACAAAACAGATCAACAAATGTTCAGTGACTGAGCGAGAAGGATATAATCGAAGAGGTCAAAATAATTTTGAAACCTGTATACGACACAGAAAGGTGCACACACACCACCTTGTTCTGATTTTGGAGTACAGCAGCGTAAACCAGGGGCCGTTCTAGCATCAGCAGTGTAGGGCTGCCAAGCACCATCTTACACTGGTGATCTTCTTAGTCCCTACACCCCCAGCAGGTCCCTGAGGTCCAGTGACCAAAGCCTACTGGTTGTGCAGCACCAGGCTAAAGGTCAAAGGTGACAGATCATCTGCTGCTGTGGCCCCCAGACTCTGGACCTCTCTCCCCCTGAGCCTGAGATCAGTGGACTCAGTGGTCTCCTTTAAAAAGCAGCTGAAGACTCACTTGTTCAAGCTGGCTTTTGTATGACCTTCTTCACCTCTCTCTCTTTATTCTGCTCTCCCACCTATTCCACCTTCCTCAGGATCCACTGGTTTCCCTCTTTCCTGTTCACTCTCTCTCTTTCTTAACATTTTTTTAATCACAATTGTCTATTTTTGCTCATTTTAAATATATTTTTAAACATTTTCGAATGCTTTTTTACATTTTTTGTTTTTGTGAAGCGCCTCGTGATTTTTACCTTGAGAGGCGCTATAGAAATGATATTTTCTTCTTCTTCACCCAGAGGGCCGCCCACCCAGGCAAGATTAGTTGGAGTTTTTTTTTTACAGTGTAACACCATTTCATTGCCTCTATTTGAAACAAAATCACAAACAATGCTTTACATCTTCTACTATTACAATAATCTAGCCCAGGTTCAAAGGCTCCAGGTCAGTGGTTCCCCCCTCCCTTCCCGAGGGCCGGTATCCAGCATGTTTTTCTGTTTCCTGCTTCAGCACACCTGACTTCAATCAGCAGGAGATTAACGGGCCTCTGCAGAACCTGATGAGCTGCTCAACAGGTGAATCAAGTGTGTTGGATTAGGGGAACAACTAAAACATGCTGGACACCGGCCCCCAGAGAAGGGAGTTGGGCATACTGGTCTAGGTGTTGTAGTTTTTGAGCTGGACCCGTTCCTATGTGGCCCAGATGCAAAACAAATAGGCCTAAATAAATGAATAAAATCAATATTTCACTTTCACACATCATAAACTATGTTTTCATCAGCGGGAAGTGAGCTAGTTCAGGTCGGATGTGTCCAGGATGTTTGTTTGACAGCCGCTGTTTTCTCCTCACAACGATGTCAAATTTTAAAACAGAAGGGAGAACTGTCAGCACTCAGGAGGGCACACGGAGGCTCAGAGCTCCACTCTGGGAGGGGCGAGCAGGAACAAACCACTTTTGAGGTGGGGGGGGGGGGGGGGGTTGCTGGATTTTTGTTGTTTAAATATAAATTTTCAACCAATATTTTACCCGTTTCTTAAAAGAAACACATAGTAAGAAAAAATGTTTTCAATTCCTAAATTTAAGGAGTGCTGGGAT